ATATAGCTAACGGGTTGGGTTTTGTAAAATGGGCTTAAACATTGTATTAAAATGGCCCTATATTAAAAAAAGTAAACTTTTTTTAGCAGTTTTTTTTTTAAAATATAAATATTAAGGCTACAAAAAAGGGGAATGCTAGCAACCTTATCTCTAATCTTCTCCTTTGGACCTTCTCCATTTTCCTCATGACATGTGTCATTCTCATTACACTTAAAACAATGTCATTAATGCATTATACAAGCTAACTTTTGCTTTCCAAGTTTACCCTATTCAATTGATCTAATTTTTTTTTTTTGACAACTCTCTTACCATCTTAATAAATAAAAAATTTAAATTTTAACGTCAATTATTTTTTTGGTCTTTGCTTATTGTTTGTACAGGTTTTGGCTCTCCTCCCTTTTGCCTTGGGTTGTTATAAATGTTTCTCTTCATGACCATTAAAAAATAATAAAAATAGAGTAGAGCAACATATTATAGCCGCTTGTATAATATGGATGGAGACCACTCTTTTGTTTTTTCTTTTGTTAATCTAAACTGCAATTTATTTATTTATTTCATATTGAATTCAGTTTTGATGATTTTTTATTCTTTTGCTTCTATATATTTTATCTCAAGCCTATGCTGTTGGGGGATATTTTGGTTTATTTAGTAGCATAAAAAACGCAATCAAGCAATTTCCTTTATAAAAAAAAAGTTAGTCTGTAAACTTTGTACCATTGAGGTGCTTACGGATGTGAATGATGTCTTTTATATATATATAATAGAAAATTGACATTTCTTTTGTGTTAAAAAAAGAAGAAAAAAAGAAGAAGACGAAAGTAGACATTTTCTTTCAAAAAAAAAACTTACGTTAAAATTTAAAAAAAAAACTTTTTATTAAGATGGTAAGAGAGTTGTCAAAAAAAAATAATATAGATTAATTGAATAGGGTAAACTTGGAAAGCAAAAGTTAGCTTGTGTAATGCATTAATGACATTGTTTTAAGTGTAATGAGAATGACACATGTCATGTGAAAAATGGAGAAGGTCCAAAGGAGAAGGTTAGAGAGAAGGTTGCTAGCATTCCCCTACAGAAAATACAAAAGTAAAAGTTAGAAGTTTTCTTTTATATATTCTTTCATTTTGCATGATTTTGGTATAAATTTATAATAAAAAAATAAACATCTAAATGACCCCTTAGGCCCCAATTACTCCTCTAAGCGCTAGACTCTATGCCTATTGCTTAGCGATTTTTCGAACATTACTTAACATTCACTAGGCTTGGGCACATGTCGATTCAGTATGATAGAGGCCTCAACCCATCAACAGTACCAAACTTTCAGTAGAGCAAAGGAGGGCATAGTCTAAATTATTTTTATTTTTATGTCATGTAAAAATGTGATTTAAATACACTCAAATTTTTATATTTATTAAAATTTAAATTGAATACACTTAAACTTTTATACCTTATTAATTATAATTAAGATGGTATGCACACGTGACACATCAGTCAGGTGTCACAACCTATGTTGCATGGATACAGGTATAGGGACACGGGAACACGACACGGGGACATGGCGACACGGAAAATCTCAAAAAATTAGGACACGGGTACGGCTAGGACACGGCAATTAAAATAATAATTTATTCTTAATACTTCAATGTCACATAATTCCATAAAACAAAACAAATAACTCATGTTCATCATCCATACATAATAATTAATCGACCACAAAATAAAACATAAATTATCTAACTCTGAATCTTCTTCAAGCATCTATGTCTTCATTGTTATTGTTATTATTTGTTGTGTTTCTCTTAAAAAAAATATAAGAAAGAATTGTCACCTTACCACTAAGTCAAACTCTTCTACTGCTGTGGAGGGAGATAAGAAAAGAAAATAGAGAACATAAATAAATGCATTTGAAAATAGAGAAAAAAAAAATTGCAAAGAGAGTTACCTTGTGCAAAACCAGGAGAAGGGGAGGAGAAGAGCTGTGATGGAGGAAATAAACTTTGGCAGCAGAAAAAAGTGAGATTTAGGTATAAAAAAGTCTTTTCCCACTTTTAGCCCCTATTTTTAAAACTATTTCAAATCAGTCCACCAACAGTTTCAAAAATCACGTTTAGACCCCAGATTTTATTTTGAAAATTTCAAACTGGTCCCTGCCGTGTCTTGACCTTGTCGGAGCCGTGTCTTAACCGTGTCCAATGCGTGTCGGGGGCGTGTCGGAGCTGTGTCAGCATGTCGGACTGTCGGCCGACACTCCGATACTCCAGCAGTTTGGAGTATCCGTGCAACATAGACTCACATCATGGGACTACTTCAAATTATCTTCTATGTCCCTTTGTCGGGCTCCACATAAACGAAACAAAGTAATAGTTTACCCTGGAAACAGACAAAAACAGTCCCAGAACAGAACTAGATTATATAGCACTCATTCCAAAACGGTTCTCTTTCTCTCATCCAAAATTCAACAACGAATTTAGTCCAGAGGTACCGGACTGTCTAAAGTCATAGTGGGTAGTGGCTCTCCAGTTCTTCAGGACGAAAACAAATTTTGGGTTTTCCAAGTCTCAAGTCATAGGTATGTGTAGCTTGTATTTTTGTTTTAAGATCAGCTTATTTGATTGGCATGTCAGCATGAATGCGCATATTTTTAGGATTGCAATGGAATTCAGTAGTTTATTTGACTAACAAAAATTGTTTAGGATTGCAATGGAATGGATGTTCGCCAAGTATTTTAGATTCTAAGTAAATCTATTGTCCTTTGCTTGTACTTTTCGATGTTTATGTCATATCATCAAGGATGGATTGTTCGAAATTCGAAAGCTATGGTTGATCAATGTTTATGTTCCCAGGATAAATGGCCTCCGGACCTTTCAATGTGAATGAGTTCCAAGAATTGGCTAGGCAAGCCCTTCCAAAAATGTACTATGATTTCTATACTGGGGGAGCTGAGGACCAGCACACGCTAAAAGAGAATGTTGCAGCATTTCGCCGAATCATGTAACGTTTAAACCTGCTGACAAATACTGTAAGATACGTATAATTATTTGAGTGATTCCTATGTCTTTCTTACAGGTTGCGGCCTAGAGTTCTTGTAGATGTTAGTAGAATTGATATGTCAACTACTATATTGGGTTACAAAATCTCAACGCCTATAATGATTGCTCCCACAGCTATGCATCAGTTAGCACACCCTGAAGGTCTAAATCTTCTTCCCAGAGTTCTCAGTTGAGATTGGTTTCAGACACTAACTTTACCTGCTCTTTATGTTCAATGCAGGAGAGGTTGCCACTGCTAGAGCAGCAGCTGCGTGCAACACCATAATGGTATTTTATGAGTCATTATGACATGTATTGAGCGAATGTGTGTAGTTCGGTGTTTGAATTGTAGTGTTTTTCATTGTAGATTTTGTCGAACATGTCTACCTGCACCATGGAGGAGGTTGCTTCCAGCTGCAATGCAGTTCGGTTCTTTCAATTATATGTATTTATTCTCTCGTGAGCTCATTTTAGTTTCGCTAAGCCAAATTTGTTCTTTACAGCAACATTTCTTCTTGTTTCCGCTATATCCTGCCGATCGAAGCTCAAGCTATGAAATGGTACCCTTTCTTTAACAGGTTCTCAAGAGACGAGATATATCAGCTCAGATAGTTCACAGAGTTGAAAAAAATGGTTACAAGGCTATTGTCTTAACTGTTGATACTCCCAGACTTGGTCGAAGAGAGGCAGACATAAAGAATAGGTTGAGATCATCCTGCTTTTTTTTTCCTTGTTTCTTGATGCTGTGCAATTTATTGCTTTTGAAGTATAATAGGACAGTAAGTTTTCTGTGCAAATCAAGTCGAATGTTGTGCGTTGAACTATATATGCATCTCATTTGAAACATGATTGTGACAATTTCTGCAGAATGGTTGCACCTCAGTTGAGGAATTTTGAAGGCCTTTTATCAACTGAAGTGCACACTGTGAGTGGAATAGTTTTATTGTGAAACTTTTCATTTAAATGTGCTATATGTTTCTCAGTTGTATGCATGACACTTTCTCTGCAGGATAAAGGATCAAACTTGGAAGCTTTGGTCAAAGGAATCTATGATACTTCTTTGAGCTGGGAGGTATAAGTCCGTGTACTCCTCCGATTATATGGTCATATGCTTCTAGCCCATATGTTAGAGACCTTTTTACTAAGGCTAATTTTTTTCTTTCCCTTTCATGGATGGGACTACACTACACTATAAAGATGCATGACTTATATGGATTTTGTTCCGTTGTAACTTTCTTTTGAGATTGAGGCTATAGAATACCCATTGACGTTATATATCGAATCATATATGCAGGACATAGGATGGTTGAAATCTATTACAAACTTGCCAATTCTAATCAAGGGGGTACTCACTCATGAGAATGGTAAACATCAACTGCTCAACTTTACCTTTTGCAAATATTATTAACTCATAGAGAGAAAGATCAATTTACATATAAAGGAAACTAGACATTACCCCCCTCCTCACTCACTGAATAGTAGTTGTTCTGCCATTTCAGCAAGAAAGGCTGTGGAAGTAGGTGTTGCTGGGATTGTCGTCTCTAATCATGGAGCCCGTCAATTGGATTATACACCTGCCACTATTTCTGTCCTGGAAGAGGTAGAACTCTCTCTCTAATTCATCATTATTCTGGTGTAACTTGTAAGGCGCAAAAAGGATGCAACTTCCACTTGCTAAGCTTTTTCCAAAATAATGTTTTGACAGAATCGTCTTTAGAAGAAACTGTGCCATTTTTGCAATAAAAGGGAAGCTTGTTTTTTCATAATGGTTATTGCAATGCTTTTTTCCATCACAATTTCAGATGGCAAAGCTGTAAAAATGTTCAATCATAATCTATCTATAATGTTTTCAGGTGGTTCATGCTGTTGGAGGAAGAGTTCCCGTTCTTTTTGACGGAGGAGTACGGCGCGGAACAGATGTCTTCAAGGCATTAGCTCTTGGTGCACAAGCTGTCCTTGTAAGATATCCACCACACTATTTAATCATCTAGCATATCAATCTTCTGATATACTCAAATGTAACTGCAGGTTGGAAGGCCTGTTGTCTATGGCCTTGCAGCAAACGGAGAACGTGGAGTGAGACGAGTCATTGAAATGCTGAAGGATGAGTTTGAGCTCACTATGGCCCTTTCTGGCTGCCCCAGTGTTAAGGATATTACCAGGAGCCATGTGACCACAGAATTTGATAAGCCACGTTCGATGCTATAATTTTCTTTTAGAAGTGTCAAAACAATATTCTGCAGAGAGATGAATGAGAACGACTGCACATTGTTATTCTTGTCTCTCATATTGTAATTCAACTTTATTAAACTGTGATCACAATGTTAATGTATGTGATAGTGTGAGTGATAGCACTTTCATGCTGAAATTAAATAGTCATTGAGAAATTAAATAAAATGAAGAACAATAAATTCTATATATACAATCCAATCCAACTAGACATTGTTCCTAAGCACATTGAAATGATGCAATTGGCCCCCGTTTTCCTGTTTCTCAGCCTCTTTTTCCCCCCAATAGCACAGTAAAATGTTGAAACTGCCATCCACTAAAACTTTTCTTCCTTTCCCTTTTTGCCACTCCCCCGTCGGATGTTTACGAGCGCCACTGGTTGGTTCATAGAGACGCGTCGTTGAGTTCGAACCAGCCTGGTTGAGCTGGTTATAGCGATGGGATAAGCTGCTTGGATGTTTGGGATTCGTTTGGGGCCGTCGATTCCCGTTCGAGGGGGCGCACTGCGAACCTCACCCTTCTTTTGGTCTTCATCTCATCAATTTGTTTGTTGGTTCAGAGATTTTTCATCATTTTGTAGAGTATTGGTCTAAAAGATCTTCCATCTTTTTTGGCTGCAAGTTCTTGCATCATTTGTCTTCAAGTTTGCATTCCATCAACTTTTTAACAAATTAATGATTAGCTGATGGGTTGCTGAGCAAACTATTGAATCCTTTAATTCCTTGCTCAAATTGGTTCCTAGAACGAGTCAGTGATAGGTTTAGAAGATAAGCCTTTAAGAACAATGGTTGTTGGCATATGAGAGTTTATTTTCTCCTACTGAGCAAATTGTTTTATTATCTGTTTTAGAAACACTTGCTTTTGTCCCCCAACAAAAGCAATCAATTCATCAATTGTTGTTGGGGTTACTATAACTTGTGTAATGATCTATTGTTGTTAATATTTTTTTTTTTTCTTTTTTGTTTTTATGCTCATATGTTTTTGTACTAACTTTGTGTAATATATATTCATTTGGTGATTTCATGTTAGAGATGTTAAAAACTGTGTTAATAGCTATTTGATGTAGTCTGCTGCCAATATATGAACATGAATGAACATGTGGAGATAGAGAGAAAGAGAGACCAACCTAATGACGTTGATGACTGCTGGAGAGAGAAAAAAACAAAGGAGAATAGTATATGTAAAAAGTTTTTTTTTTTCATTGAAATTATGATTTGGATATGTGGTATGATTGATTTTTTATTAAATTGATGAACTGAGTATGTGTTATATTAAAGATTTAACTATGGTTATGAACTAGACATGTTCAAGATTTAGTTTTTTTTTTAAAAAAAAAAATTATGAATTTCGCATGTATTATTTGTTAACCAAACTTTTGTAGTGTGCATTGTCTTTAATTCATATATACTTTCATGGTTGAATGTTAAATGACTTACTATGTTTCATACATTAGGATTGCACATTTTATCATATAGTTGTGAGCCATGTCAAATTTAAGTTTGTGAGCCATGTCAAATTTAAGTTTATCCATTTCCAATTTCTAAAGGCAGAAGTTATGATGCATGGTAAATTTGTAGTTCAATTGTTTCATTTCTGTTTTTAAGTATTTGGAAGTCATTGTTTAGACTGTTGTTTATGGAAAGTTTGATGATTTGTAGCATCAGTAATTACAGAGACTAACCCAACATTGATTATCATCCATATTTTTTTCTTTCGTTTTTCCTTTCGTTTTTCTTAGAAATTGATTTTAGTCAGAAATTTTGATTTTCATTTAAAAAGGTTTGTTCTAGAAAATACAAAATCCAAATACTATGAAGTGTGCACAGGAGAAGATCCTCTTTTTTCTTTTCCAAAATATTAGTAAGTCTATTGTATTAATATGATGTTTCATACCCCCAACTTATCTTTTATAGTTAATCTTCCCTTTGTGTGCTGCAGGCTTGGGTCATTGGGTATTATTATTACAATTGTTTTCTTGGTCTTGGAATCTTATTCCAGTATTTAAACTTCATTGTAGATTCAAATCCAAGTTTGCGCTCTTTCATTGAATACAAGAACATAACTTTATTTCAATTTACAATTTCTGCAATTTATTGTCGTGCAAAGGTGAAATTGTTAGCTTTTGGTGAAACATGAGAATTCATGTTTGTTTGTGATAGAAAAGAGATGAAGGAATAGTTGTTCTAGGTTCTTTGTTGACTATTTTTTAGGAATTTATTGAAAATTTGTGAATAATTGAGATTGTGACTTGCCAATTGCCACGTTCAATATTGTTCTTATTGTCGAAGCAAATTATGAGATTTATTCAAATAGTTATACTCTGGCTGCTTCTTCAAATTAGTTTTGTTACTTTGTATACATTAATATAAATTTAATTATTTGAAAGTCAAGGGAGAAAAAGTGTGTGTTTATCTTTGTAGCTAGAGATAGGTAAGAGACACTTGAGACTCGAGGCTTTTCTCGTTGTAATGTAAATAATGAATTACATACTAAGAAATTATGTCATGTTATAATTTTTTTTTTTTTTAGAAATGTGTGTTACTCATTTTGTTTATTTGTGATGTTTCAGAGGTTGTTCTTTGGTTTCAGAGTTCCGCCAATGTTGCGAATGCCAACCTTTCGGTTATGATATTTCTGTTATAGCATAATCATTGTTATGTTTTTCTATGACTGTAAGGTTTTCTATGCTTTATAAATCTGTTGCTTGGGGTTTTAAATTTTCATCATAATCCACTCATAAATGGGAGAAAGATGAGTGAAATTTTATCTACGCTGACAACTACCATTTTTCCAATTTGCAACAGAGAAGTGAAAATACCTGCACATGAGAAGAAAGAAGAAAAAACACATATGCAGCCAAGCCAACAAAAGAAAAATACCCTTCCTGAAGACATCGATGAAAAACCAAGAACCAGTGAAGAGAGAAGTTATGCCACATCAATGTATATCGTAGTGTATAAAACATGTTATTTATCCATCTATTGCAACAGCTGTAATAGTTTTTTAAACACTACTTCACCTACATAACATGTTACTGATATTTTTTTAACTTAAAAACTTTCACATGTATGTATTGTGTTTCCTATATGTTTTTACAACTTTTTACATATATCATACAGTTATACAGTTTTAATACCCGCAACATTGCATGAGCACCTTTGCTAGTTTCTAAATTAAGATTATTTTTTGCTTTTTAGTTTCTAAATTTTATTTTACAACTCAGGTCTAGTCCCCTTTCTCCCTTCCCCCTTTCTTTTCAATAAATAAGTAGACAAGGAAATTCCCAACCACGCCCTAGTCAACAAATTGCGTTGGCCAAAACGAAAACAAAACAAAAACCAAACCAAACCACTGAGATACGACAATCTAGATAAATACTAACTATTTGAGTTAACAGTAAACTTTTGTGAGTCAAATAAACATTTAACCAATTCCCAAGAACTTACACACTTATACAGCACAATCCTTCTTGATGGATCTTATTTCTCAGCGCTCTGGAGCCCAGTAAAAGTATTCACCTTTGCACCTGTCAAAGGTGACATCAAGTACTAAAGTAGTACTTCTGCCAGACATTATTGAACCATATAAATGTTGTAATGTTAATTCCTAATAATTCTACAGGTTGACTTATCTCTGAAATTTAAAGCCAAATCCTGCCCACAACATCAGCTTTTGCTTCAACAATTCCTGAACTTGAGGAGGAGGCTTCTGAGAGGAGCAGCTGAACCATTCACTCCACAAAACAAGCCCAAGATTTCATAATTTTACTATGCGTTACCAACAGAGTTGCTCTTGTTCACACCTTGAAGGTCCATAGGAGAATTTGTGATACTACCAACTGAACCAAGCGTTTGAGAGCTCAGCTGTGGGCTTGCAGGACAAGCCTCTGGATTACCAGCACTCATGCCATGGATTGCCCCTGAGTTCATCTGCTGTGGACTCATTGGAGTTCTTTGGCTCATTTGCTGTGGGCTAGCCTGCTGCTGTTGCTGCTGGCTTTGCTGGTTTAGTTGTGAAATTCCCATCGTTGAGGGGGAGCCCACCTGCTGAGGCGAAACAACAGCCTGTAGTGGTGAAGTTGTTTCTTGTTGCTGCTGTTGCAATTGCTGCTGCTGCTGCAATTGCTGCTGTTGCTGCAACTGCTGCTGTAATTGTTGTTGCTGTAACTGTTGTTGTTGTTGCTGCTGCTGCTGCTGCTGCTGCTGGTTCATGTACATATTCATCCCCGCCACCAGCTTTGGTGGACCCATAGGTCCCATTGCTGGCTGTTGCATAGGACTCATGTTAGTTCTGTTCAGAGACTGACCCAACATTGAGAGACCAGCAGTTCCCTGATGTATCTGTCTGGATCCTGACATCCCAGACATGCTTGACTGAGGGACCCCTATCATGCTGCCTCGGTTCTGTTGCATCCTAAGTTTAGACATGAGAGCAGCTTGTGTTAATCTTCCAGATTGAATTTGCTGGGTTAAATTAATATTTGAAGCCTGGCTTAAATTCATTGGATTCTGACCCACACTTCCCATTCCAGAAATAGGTGTCATGGGTGCTGACATTCCTCCTATTCCCCTTGCAGCTCCCATGCCCATTGTGTTTCCAAGGCCTGAAAGCCCAACCATGTTATTGCCTATGCTCCCCATACCCATAGCTGTTCCAAGTCCCATCATCATTTTTCTCTGCATTTGTGGCTGCTGTTGTTGGTGTTGCTGCTGTTGCTGCTGCTGTTGTAAAAGCTGAAATTGCAGGGTGGAAATCTTATTCACCATCTGATTACCCAACTGCATGTTGGGATTCTGTCCAATTGCATTCAACTGTGAAAGTGGATTTGCAAGCATCATTGATCTCTGGAGCTGGGGATGCTGCTGCTGAATCATGGAGTGTTGGCTGCTCTGCTGCTGCGGCTGTTGTTGCTGCTGCGGTTGTTGTTGTTGTTGTTGTTGTTGTTGTTGTTGTTGTTGTAGTTGTTGTTGTTGGTGCTGCTGCTGCTGCTGCTGCTGTTGTTGCTGCTGCTGCAGCTGAAGTGATGGCTGTGACTCCAGCTGTTGTTGACGTTGAGACATTGAAGTCCCAGTCAAGAGCCCTTGAGACACCTGTAAGGCCTGAGGGTTTCCAGGAGGCAGCATCCTTGTGCTTGGTAGAAGATTCTGGGCCGGATTTAAGGATGAATTACCACCATTAATTGGCTTAGCAACTTCATTGGATGGCTGACCTGAAACTGATTCTGCATATTGTTGCATCTCAACTGCTGAATTATTACGAGGCAGTCCAGAAGCATTTGATTGATTTCCTGGGCCAAGATTCATGCGGGTTGGCTTTGGTTGGATTTGATCCTCTTTACGATAACCCTCATGTTCCATCTGTATAAGAAGATAACATAAATCACAAAGGACAAGTGTAACTTAAACTCTTTAAGTTAACTTCAAGACCTTCCAAACCATACCAGTGAAGAGAACTGTGCTGCAAGCAAATCCGCCAAGTGCTGTTGCAAGGAATAAGGTAAATATATATGTCAGTTCAACAGAAAACATAAGAAACAATAAATTGTGAGAGTTATCCTGACATAGATTCCAGTCAAGCTCTCTTAGACAACCAAAGCTACTAGTGACTCTTCAGAAGGTTATGTTTATCATCAGTCATATGATAACAAATTATTCTGAATGTCAAGCCAAGCTTCATGATGCAGAATGTTTATAGGACAAATATGACAGGGAGCATTTTGCAACAAATGGCGGAATTTTTTTTGAAAGAATGTAAAGAATATAAATGCAGGACACCCAAGGACCCAATAGGATGATTTGAAAGAGCAAAAAGAAATTCTGAAACAGTGATGTGAAATTGAAAACAAATAAAGAGTAAAAGAGCTAAAAACTGAGAAACCACAAAAGACGGGTACTTATGGGAATTTATATTTTGATAAAATGAATTATCAATAAGATAGAATGACGAAAAAAAATTGTTGATTGCCTCAACTAACTGGAAGTACACTGAGTTCACTCAAACAGATGGATCACCTCAGACAGTAAAGTTTAATTTGTACAATAACACTTACAGTGTTGGGCAACGTAGGAAGATAATCCTCAGCAGCCTGAAATTCAGCTTCATCTATTTCGCCATAGTACATTGCTATAGTACCATCATTTGGTTTCTCTGACATGATCAATCTAGTT